CACCTTCGGACGAGTCCGTAGAGCCGAGTGGTCCGTATCGAGAGCTTGTAGGTTGCCTCATGTACCTGATGACGTGCACACGACCTGACCTCGCGTACCCTCTCAGCCTCCTGGCTCGCTACGTGGCTCCCGGTAGTCACCGAAAGGTGCACTGGGATGCTGCTAAGAGGGTACTGCGTTACTTGTGCAGTACATCGGGCATGGGGCTCGTGCTTGGAGGACGGGGTTCAGTGGTTCTCACAGGACACTCCGACGCTTCTTGGGCCGACGACCAGGCGACTCAGCGTTCGTCACAGGGTTACACCTTCAGTCTTGGCTCTGGTTCTGTCTCGTGGAGGTCCACTCGTTCGTCTTCTATGCTTGGTTCCAGCTGTGAGGCCGATATCTACGCTGGGGCTATGGCTGCACAGGAGCTACTCTGGCTGACCTACCTGCTGACCGACTTGGGGGAGCGGCCTCATTCTCCTCCAGTTCTGTACGTCGACAACAAGGACATGCTTGCCTTGTGTCACGAGCAGAGACTGGAGCAAAGAACGAAGCATATTGCTCTTCGCTGCTTTCTTGCTCGAAAGCTGCAGCAGCGGGGTCAGCTTCGCCTTTCCTACGTGGCCTCTCGGGCCAACACTACTGATGTCTTCACCAAGGCCCTCCGGTCTAGTGATCATCAGCGTTTTTGCACTGCTCTTGGGCTTCTGCCCACTCTGCCTCACCTGCTTGTCTCTTGATCTTGCACTTGTTGTACACTGTTATCTATATTTATACCTGCATGTTTACTCTTGCTATGTTGTAATCAGTGTACTGCCTTGCTATTATAACTCTGCATGTGAACTGGCCTTGTGGTCGCTTGCTTGTGCTCAGAATGCGTGGTGATCTTGAGATCCACCCTGGGCTTTGCATTGCTTTGTTCTCTTGCCTGACTGATCTTGTGACCGTTTGTTGTGTTGGCTATCCCTCACTTTGCCTAGGGGTGTGTGTCAAAACATATTCATATGTTGTTAGTTCTGCTAGGCTACAGTGAGGTGCTCAGTATAGAGTACAACCCCAGTTAGGGTTTCATACTTGTATCTCCCTGTTGCTAGTTATTCATCATTCCTGCACAGGTCTCTCGACAGTCGCACCTCACAATCGATTTCTTTCACAATGTACATGGACTCTGTGAGTCAAATTGATTGCCTCAAAGGAGCTGTCACACGAGACAAGTTGTTTTCTGTCTGCCGTTCACAACGCGGATGAAACGTGCCTTTCGTGTCTGAAACTTATTCACTGACGCTATTGTGCATACGGAGCATATAGCCGCGCTGAGAGTAACCGATTGAGCAGAGTTCTCATTGAGACGATTGAGGTTGGGGTCGGGCTGGTCCTCTGGGGCAGTGAAACCACGTGTCTGGCTGTGGGAATTGCGGTGGTATAAATGCATGACAGCTGAATTTCATATATAAATATATAGTGACTAGATTCTAAGCCAAGAATAATTGCATGAATAGCCTACGCAGGGCTGACGTTTCAAAAAAAACCACTCTGCTTTTTTTTGGGGGTAATTTTGTTTTTAGTCTGAGGCATATTTTCCTAAGAATGTATAGTCTGATTTTCCAGGATCCACACAAGTTTCACTCTGAAGACGTCAGAGTCGAGGATAAAAAATCATACCAAGGAAATGTCGAAGGGATTGGCTTGGTATCGTTACAGAGCAGATTCTCGCTGGTGATTCGGACTTGATTGGACTTGACTGGTCACAGCAAATTCTCGCTGTCACCGCAAATTTGCTGTAACACACCAGATTCGCGCCGTCACATGCACAACAATTCGCCCAATCACAGAAAAATTGCCTTGGCACAGCAGATTCGCGCCGTCACAGCAGAACAAATTCGCCCAATCATAGCAAATTCGCCCTGACACAGCAGATTCGCCCTTTCACATCACAACAGATTTCACCCGACACAACAATTTCGCCCTGGCATAGCATGTTTTGCCCGTAGGTAAGGATTCGCATTTCAGATTCCGTACTCTCTGTAGTCTGAAGACTCTTTATCCGTCAAGTCAGTAGTCTGAATTTTTCAGTATTCAAAAATAACTAAGTCTGAAGTACTCATGATTGAAAATCTGACAAACTCTGAAAAAAACAGGATTCCAAGGAAAAAAGGTATGAGATTTCAGACAATCATACTAAAATGGTCTGATAACGTCAGCCCTGAGCCTACGGTTCCACTTACACGACACCAATAAAGCTAGGTTGGCCTCTGCACAGCAATGGCAGAAGTCAATCGAAAAATATTGTGGACGTGGAGTGCATAGCAGCTTGCACAGATAGTATGGAAAATGCTTTGCATGGTTACTGGTCTGCCATACTGTTCTGGTATCTGATTATTATGCGTCATATTCTTTCACTCACCATTCTCAAGCCTAGTGTACTGGCCATAGGACTAGTAAATGGCTTAGGGCAATAGAAGGGATGTATTATCAGCGATTCAAAACAGCAGATTGTCACCCAACAAGCGAGGTAGGTTCGCATCCAAGCACATAGCTCCCTCCCCTAAGCACATAGCTCCCTCCCCTAAGCACATAGCTCCCTCCCCTAAGCACATAGCTCCCTCCCCTAAGCACATAGCTCCGAGGTGTTCTCTCCCCTAAGCACTCGACCCTCGGGTAAACATCATCCGACACCAACTCCCACACCACAGCACTGTCTCGAAACCAAAGAAACACTAAAACAATCACAATACGCGAAGCTAGAGCCCTCCTTTCTTAGTTAATTCGTCAATATTCTGGGAGGGGCAACGGAAGGGAGAAAGAAAAATGCCACAGCATTTGCACACACACATGTGCCATCATGTGGTCCACATCTGCACTGGAAGGGATCTGGCATGCGACGAGCCTTCATAACGAATGAAGCAAGCAAAAGAATGTGATGTGAAAGGGACACGCCAAACCACGTGACATGCTGGGCGCGACAGAACGAAGCAGCGAATGGAAGCAGGTGACAACCACGTCCGCCATATTTGTGACGTACCACGGTAAGCGGCGTGCTACATTCGAGACGCTGCCTGTTAGGTTTGTCAAGGCACGGCTTGTACCTGTAGCAAAAACTGTCAGTCCGCCCGGCCACTGTAAGACAACTAATGCCTGGGTATCAGAGGCACCGCCAATAGAGACAGCAGGCAGGATAGGGGATTCGATGAGCATGGGTAGTGAACCTTTTTGGCCAAAAAGCGCGGCAAGGCAGTCAGACTCTCGTGCCATGAGGGTTTAAGAGCAGTGGAAAAGTACAAGAGCACAAGAGAACAAGAGCACTCTGGAGTGTCAGATAGAATGACATAGAGGTGTATTTTGAGGCGCCTCAACATACAAGAGAACAAGAGCACTCTGGAGTGTCAGATAGAATGCCAAGGGAGGGAACAAGGGAAGGCCTGACCATTCATTCAACGTTCAGGATTGTCCATCCCAAATTTGTGTTTGGGGGGGGTTGGTTTGGACAGTGGGAGTTGAAACTATGTATTTCGTGATGCACTGTGAATATGCTCGCTACTGACTCGCTACTCCATCCAATCTCTAACTACACCTAGTCCGCGGTATTTTAACCACGTGAACTGTTTCGCTTCAAACACCCTTTGATCGTTTTCGGGTAATGAGATGGGCACCCAGAGACTTCAAGGCTATTGTTTTGCAGCCAGAATAATTTCCTTAAAAAGAAACTCACACTTAGTGCTCCGAAATAGAGGGCGGATCGGCATTGACCGGGTTTTGACTGCCATCGTCTCACAAAGGGTATGCTAGATTCTACCCTCATTAAATTTCTAAACTACTCTTATAAAAAAGTTTGACCAAGGAGAAGTACCCTCGCGCGGTTAAGATAGCGGCGGTTAAAATACCGCGGACTAGGTGTAAACACCCACTCATCCTGTGCTCACATGCATCCAACGGAGTCCCTACAATGTAACCCAAGTGGACTCCACACTTTCTGGAAACTCCACCGCCACTGCACAGCAGGTGTATACGTGTGTCCCCTTGATTGCATGCCCCAACTTGGTAAAGGTAAAAACATTTGGCAACCGTGGGGCTGGGACCTAAAAATTTGTACGACCGTCCGATCAAAACATTTCGATCGACGGTTACGATCACCTTTTGCATCTTGGTTTTCTTGAAACCTTACTTGCACACGATTGGCTGCTCAGATTGTCTTGGATCAAGCCCTTACGAGCTCCAACTGCCAACCAACTCGAAACCCTAGAGCAAACTCTCTGTCGGCTGTATTTAGCTTTCACTTTCAGAGTGGTTCAATTCAGTTTTTAGTTGACAGGTCACGTTTTGCAGATAAAAATTTGAAGTAGTCCCACCCTTCTACCTTTACGACAGCTACTGCAGGGCATCAGCAGCCTAACTCATCTATGGCAGAAATTCCGCTACTCGAGTTAGTACCACGGTTATTTACTACTCACGTCGCTCTGTCTGGCCACACCGAGTCCCAGACTACACGCATGTTTACCCCTGCTTGCTGTTAAGATATAAATGGATGACGTACGCAACTGCTTAAGATATGAAAAGGTGACGACGGCGCACATGGCGAGCGACGACAACGATGCGAGCACGTTCTCCTTCCCCTTATCTCCTTCTCCCTTTCCGCATCCTACATGATCCACCCCTTCCCTTACCTTTTTTCCCCCTCCTCTACCTTTACTGGCAGAACTCGACGCTGTGTATCGCTTCACACGACGACGGTTACGGGCGATGTGGTGATAGTGATGCTCGGCGGGAAACTTCTGCAGTGCGGCAGCAGCGCGCCACAATCCAAGGAGAGACACGAAGCGGTGAATGCGGCGCCAGGAAAGGAGAGACACGACGTCGAAGCAGACCGCCTGTGACGTGTCGAACTTGACTGTGGAGCTTGGGGGCTGTCCCTGTGCACGAGTCCCAAGGAAGGCCCATGCTTGAGCGACGACCTTGATGTGAGCATTCGCATGCGCTCGAATCATGACGCGACCTATAGCAACGACCGTAACTTCTGTATGCTTGCATTCTGCCATATATTCTACGGCATGTGCTACATCGAGGCGTCAGAGCGCTTCTCCGATGGCCGCCTGCAGATCGACTACTTGGGTGCGTGCTGCTGCCAGTGGGGCTTGTGAGGGTGGCAGTACGGGCGGGTGGTGCGATGGGGGGAACGGAGGGGAGGGAGTGGGTGTATGAATGCTTGTGAGGGTAGCAGAGGGGGCTTTTGGCGTTGCTGGGCCCACCTTTTCACAGCCGCCTCCCCTCCCTCCCGTTTTCCCCCTCCCCACCCCCCTTCCCCCACTTTCCCTTGCTTCCCGTCCATGTCCCCCGTCCTTCACTGCTCCCCATCTCCCCCAGCGCGCTATCTGGGGCTGCCCTCGCCGCCCCCCGTGCTACAGCCAGGGCGCAATGCCTCTCGCGGGCTCAACTTCGCCAGTGCGGAGAGCCACACTCTCGACCACCGCCTGCTCGACGCGATTCACGGCAGCGAGGGTGGCTATAACGTGGACGGTGCGGATTCGTTCTACTCGCGCATGGCGGAGCAGGACGCGCAAGCTCCGCGGATGGGGGAGTGCGGCGGGCGGTGCGGAACGGGGGACGGCTCGAGCCTCATTGAGGTGAGGGGGAAAGGGGACAGGGAGAAGAGGGGAAGTCGGAATGGGGATGGGGATGGTTAGTGAGATTGATTTGATGTAGGTGCCGTTTTTCCCCCTATCGATCGTGGAATTCTCAACTCATCCTCCCCAATTTCCTTTTCTCTCCGCCTTTCCGCTTTGCGCCCCTCCCCCAGTCCCTCAGCGCCTGCACCTCCGCGGACGAGTGCCAGCTGTTCGCTGACGTCATCGCCGCCCTGAAAACCGCCTCATCCTCAAATGCTGCCGGCGCCAGCAGCAGCAGCAGCACCAGCGGCAGCAGCAATACCGCCGCCAGCAGCAGCAGCGGCAGCAATGGCAATCTGAGGCGAGCAGTCATGCGCTTGCTTCGGGCCAAGGGGTACGAAGCTGTAGTGTGCAAGGCGCGGTGGGAGAACGTAAGTGCCTCCCTGGCGGCACATACGAGTACATAGACGTCGTCTTGGGTTGCCACAGCAGCAGGGGCTGCCGGTTGAGACGGTTGTGCTCTGACCATCTCTTACCCTGACATGTGTATAGTGATGCCTTTCTGTTTTGTACCCTAATTTAATAAATCTGCTATTATTGAATCACCATGCAAACAGCAAGATTTTGAGCATATATTTTGGATATGTAGGCGTGTTACACGTGTAACCCTGTAATTACGTTAGGTGTACCTACACTGTACGTACTAAGTATCCGCTATGTTCCGGGATTGGCACTACCGACATTCTCTGTACTGCAGCGCCAGCTCATGTCGAGGCATCGAGTTGCGACACAGTAATCACTGTGTGGGGACTCCCAACCCCCGCGGAGTACCTGTAGAGTTGGTACATTGTACCTACTGCACGCTGCGGTGAGTAGTAGTTTGTGTGTATCAACACATGTACGTACATACCCCTCAGGAGAGGAGTAGCTACTTAGTAAGTACACAGCACGTTTATAGTACGTAGTATGCAGGTTCGTGTTTACTACTTTGGGATGTCCGTACTAGAAGGATGAGTCTGTTCGTACCGTCGGATGTTTTTGTCCTCCCCACGGTCTAGAGCTTGCGATGGCTCTGCTCGTGCGCTGCGTTGGGCTGGACGGCACTCGCGGCGTTTTCTGCTGTGACGACGCCTCTCGCCGCGTTAGTTGCTGGTAGCGGCGGGTTAAGGGGCGTGAGAAGATTGAGGGGCAGATAAAACGTAACGCGAAAGGGGCATTGAGATGGGATGTGGGCAAACTGAGGGCGTGACAGGCAGGAGAAGAGTGGGGCAGATAGAGGGGATTGGCGGAGGATTGAGGGATTGCGGAGAGGCATGAGACGAGTTGGATGGCTTGGTGGATGCAGAGGGGCAGGAGTCACGAGTCCGGCAGAGCGATTCATAAGCGCGGTGAAAGGGATTCAATCACAGGGCCTCGGCTTAATTTTCGCGATGGCACGAGAGTATACGGACCGTACCTTGGGCGAAAGAGAGCGCCAGGATTGCAGCGAGGAAAAGCGCGAGGCCGACGGAGAGAATGTGGCGAGCCATGGCGTTGTTGCGTGATGGGCTAGCTGGGAGAGTTTGAGAACTGAGATTGGAAAAATAGGAATTGAGATTGATGGTTAGAGCATGTATAGCGGCGGGATTTTATAGACGGGATGAGTCCATTTCGATGGACCAAGAAAAATGAGAGTGCGACATCGAGGGGCGTCAGTTTCTGCCTGCTGCCGTGAAATGCGCGAGAGTATTGGCCGAAAACGACCCTGGCTGGGCGCGAGAGTATTATGCAATTTCGGTGATAATTCAAGGCAATAATGCAGTTTTCGAGCTGCCCGGTGTAAAGACTTGTGACGCGGTGAATGTGAAGTGATGGAGGATCAAGGGCTCAAATTCGAGGCAACAATTCAATTTGCGAGTCTCGGTCTGGAAAATAAAAACTCATTATGCTGTCTAAGTCTCGAGGACCCAATTTCATCCGCCGCCGTACTGCAATCCACAAAGCCAGCTCGAACCCCATAAAAAGACGATGCCGAGGGAGATGGGATTTCTATCTTGGGTAAGTAGCTTTGGCAAGGGTACTACTAGCGACCCTTCGCTTTCAAGGGGACTACAGTGCTGTATGCGGGCACTTTCCGCCACTCCGCCACTCCGACAGGAACATTATGGCAACATCACAGAACTCGGTCCCACATTCACCCACGTGTCAGAATTTCGCAAGCCACTGGAGAAAAAATTCCCTTTACCTGACCAAAAAAAACTAAAACCCAATCGGGAAGGGATGCGTCTCGGGGAGGCATCAACCCTAAAAAAAAATGTGGGTTCCCGTGTTTAGGGTTGATCCCTCCCGAAAATGAGTCCAGGTTCCCTATGGGTTTTATTTTTTTCTGCCGTGCGTTTTTTAACTTTCCGAATTTGTGACACGTGGGTGAATGTGGGACCGAGTTCTGTGCTGTTGCCATAACTTTCCTGTCGGAGTGGCGGAGGGGCGGAAAGTGCCCGCAACTAGCACTGTAGTTCCCTAGAAAGCGCAGGATCGCTAGTAGTACCCCTGCAAAAGCTACTTACCCTTCTATCTTCTTCAATACCGCGTACCCAGGAGTTTCATTGGCTGCCGCAGAAGGCGGTGAAATTGGAAAAACAAGCGAGCTAATAGATCATTCATTACTCGCAAGATTGAACGGGGAAGTACGCTTGGTAGTTCTTGATATTTGATACAAAAGCATTATGTCTAAATTCTACTAACATGATGAAAGTGTGTGTAAATTCTGCTACCAAGTTGAAAAACAAACATCCCCAAAACATTCCTCCTAACCAACAAGCCAACTTTTCGGAAAGATTCACCTTGATAGAACACCCAAAAGAAATTACAAGCAAGAAAAAAAACATCAGTAAAGAACCAGAGGAATCATCACTAGAAGCATCCCCCACAGCAATATTACTTTCCCCCATGTACTTATAGAAATCACTTTCTGGTGCTTGGTCTTGCTGACTTACTAGGCTTGCTTGCTCCTCCTGCCAAAGGATACTCGGTCTGCAAAAAAGGGCAAGAAAGGAGCAAAGTGTGAGGTGCACAAAGGGTGAGGTGGTCTACCCTCCATTGGGTGAGACATCTAGCTTGTGACGCGCCTTCCTGGAAATATGGCATGTCAGAGTGGCAAACCAGACCACATGGCACGTGCAAATTAGAATAGAAGCAAGTTACAGCCGGCCCACCGCTGTGACTACCCGTATTTGGAGCCATGTTGAGTTGGTAAAAAAAGGGGGATAGAATGCACGTGACAGCCTGTCTGCCACATCATTCACGTGTCTTACCTGTCGCGGCTGGCCTCCGCACTGCTTTATATATCCTGCTAACAGGCCGTCCCTGCACTTGTCTATGATGCATTCCCAAGGCGGCTCAAAAGTGTCTTACCCGTTGCGGCTTGTCTCCGCACTGTGCAATCTGCGCCAGCAATTCTTCCTTGCACTTGTCCATGCTCTTCTGCGTCCTCACGAGGGAGAGCGAGTAGCAGTCATCCACTTTCCGCTTGAACACCAGACTGCATGGCGTTCCTGTTCATGACCGAGGGAGGCACCGCGGGAGGCAACAGGCAAATGAGCGGATCTGAATGCACATATGGTACCAGCATAGTATGCCTGAGGGTACATTCCTGCAGTGACGCGCCACAGCAGGAATGTACCCTGAGTGAATCCGCTTGAAAAGTCTCAGATTTCCCGAGAAACGTCCCTCGCAATTGTCGGGTATACGAAGAACGAGAACCGGAGAGGGGCGCTCTGGTCATTCGTGCAATACCTGGAACTGAGCGTAGTAGAACTACGAACCAAATCGGTCATCGTACCGTCATCTTCCGCGAACCAAATCGGTCATCGTACCGTCATCTGCCGCGCGCATTCCAGCCAGGAATTTGTTCGCATCATTTGCAATCACTCTGACGCCTTGGGCGCACGAGACGCAGGAGAGGGTCAGAACTGCAGCGAGGAAGAGCGCGAGGCCGACGGAGAGAATGGATCGAGCCATGGCGAGACGATATAAACTGAGGGCTCCAGAAAAACGAGGCTGGATGGTGGCGGCTGTTCGAGTAGCGCGCTAGCAGTGCTGCTACGATGCTGTCACAACGAAGTAAGATTGGCTCCAGCATAGTGACATACTTATACGTGCGACGAACGTGGGCACCATTGGCTGAGGGGAAAAAACGTCACGTGCCACAGAATGATTTTTCTGCGCAGCGCTCCTGCCGCCGCCGAATGCGGAAGGTATGGGTGATATTTTGTACAGCAAAGGCTTGGCAAATGATGAGGGCGTGTGGGGTGGGGAAGAGTCACAGTCGCGAGATTCGAGGTTTTGGTGCGGTTAGACATGGTTTTGGTGCGGTGAGAAGCGGTTTCGACTTAACGTGGCGATAATTGGTCTTGCGAGTTTGCATAATTTCTGAGAGGGAGTGGGTTGCCGCACAAACCGGCGGGTCTATTAGAAGCTGTTTCCTTTTCTTCAATAATACGTATACATCGTATTAGTTCTTACTTTTATTCATTCATCTTGGTTGGATTGCTGTGTTTAACAGTGCTCAGTTGCACGGTTTCACTTTAATTCTGTACTCCCAGCAATGCAAATCTCTAACAACAATCAAACAATCAGCACACAAAACTCATTCCTCAGAGAAACTTAACATATGGTATGATGGTATCACGTCTATATTCAACATAACAACACTCAAATTCAACTGTACACAAGCTGCCTACTGTGGCAGTACAGTAAAGCCACTTTTCCAACGCCTTGCCTCAGCAGCACACACTACCGTATCCTATTCCACCACGGTCGCTCAAGCCATGAGCACCAACCTGCAGTGTAAGCATACACTCTGGGTACACTCCTGGTATACAGCCTCATCCCCTATCGGCACATGCTAACACCATCCCTGCATCACCTCCCTCCACCTCGCCGCTTCACACGCCGTTCCCTCATCTTCCCCTCCACCCACCGCGGCACCGCCCCTCTCTCCTGCGCCTCTCTCCTCCCCTCTTTGGCCGATTCAAACATCCCGCGTCTTCGCCTCGCCACCATTCTATCCGCCCGGTTCGCCCGCACAAACAGCTCATGCGCTGCTGCTGCATCCCCCAGCGCATCCTCCACCTCTGCTGCCTGCTGCAGCGCTGCTGCATTGCCCGGCTGGGCTGATAGGGCGAGTTGTAGGAGGGAACGGGCCTTGAGAAGGTCTCCCTGCTGCCGCTCCAAGCATGCGTACGCCTGAGAACCACGAGGATGAAGCGGGAGCGAGGGGAGTGGGGAGGGAGGCATGAGAGTCGTGAGGGGGTGATAAATGCAAGTGGAGGGAGATGGAGCATGGAACAACTCAATGCCGCACTATCCTCACACTACCCTCAGAAGACACTCACACGATTATGCAACAAGCCAGGCCCTGCTGATTCCAGCATAAAAAAAAAAAAAAAAAAAAAAAAAAAAACACACACACACACACACACACACACACAAGGAATCTTTTTCACCCGCGGTGAGGTGAGAGAGGAAAGAGCGTACCTGGAGAGTGGGGACTGAGTGGGGAGCAGCCTCAAGGCAGCGGTCAAACAGGCTCCTCGCAGCATCGACATCCCCTGCTGCATGCTCCATCACACCCCACGCCTGCAGCGCCCGCACACACCCAGGCTGCACCTCCAAGCACTGCTGAAACAGCCCCCTGGCTGCCTCCCTGCTCTCGGGTGTGGCTAGTCGGGCCTCCTGGCACGCCCATGCGTGCAGTGTGGGAATGGACTTGGGGTTGGCTGCTAGGGCTGAGCGGAATAGGGTTCTCATGCGGTCGGACCGGCCTGCCCTGGCTTCGAGGAGGGCCCATGCCTGAGTGGGGGATGCGAGAGAATGCATGGAGTAGAGAGCAGAGCGAGGTGAGAAGGTGGTGGGTTGTTCACTTGCAGATGCATGTGAGGTGACTGCGGTGCCACACATGGGATGGCAGACAACATATTGAAAGGCAGAGCGAAAGGAAGCGGCAAAGATAATCAATGCAGGAAAAGAGAGCGAAGTGAGAAGAGAGCAGCAGCAAGCACAGGATGCAGTGAAGTGAGTAGCAAGCACATGCCACAGTGGGTGAGCATACCTGCCAGCATGCAGCATCAAGAGGGGCAGCAGCAGTGGCCTTCTTGAAATAGCACCGAGCTGCACCCAGGTTCTTCACGGAAGCTTCCAGGAGCGCACGTGACTGCAGAACCACTGGGCTGTTCGGCTGAAGCTTCTCTGCCTGCTCTAGAAGGTTCCGGGCAGCCTGGAAATTTCCTTCACGTTTCTCAGCCATGGCCCAGGCGTGCAGGCCAATCGCAAGGCTCCCTGTGTCTTTCTGGGTCTGCCCTGCCTGTTTGCCCTGCTGCTGCTGCTGCTCCCACTCCTGCTGTCGCTGCCCCCGCGTCAGCACCACTATTGACCGTTGAAACAGCTGTCTGCTGGTAACCATGTCGCCCTCCTCCGCCTCCATCCCGGCCCATGCCTGCAGGCACCGCCCCAGGTGATTCCTCAGGTGCCCAGCCTCCTCTGCTGCTCCTTCACTCATTAGCTCCGCAGGCCCTCTCTCTGCCGAGTGCGTGGCGTCTGAATGCCTTGCGTAGCTGTGGTGGTTGACAGAAGCGTCCCCTGAGTGCGGGGAGGCACTGCCAACCGCCAGAGTCTCCTCATAGCCCTGCGCGCTACATCGGTACCACGCCCTGGCGGCTGCTGCGGGTGTGGTACCAACCGTCACCGCCAGAGCCTCCTCGTAGCCCTGAGCACTGCGGCGGTACCACGCCCTGGCTGCTGCTGTGTTGCCTGCCTTCCTCTCTGCCAGCGCCATGTGCTCCTGAATTTGGGGGTTCGTAGGTTGCTGGGATAGCAGCTGCGGGAGACAGGAAAGACACGGGGAGACAGGGGACGGGACAGCGGGATGAGAGGGGAGGGGAGAGTGTGAGAGGACACAGAAATAACGGGGCTGCCTGCGTCCTTGCAGGAAATGGCGAAATGGAGAGGAAGGCAGGAAACGACTCACGGCAGCATGCTCACAGCACCGTCTCTCCTCTGCCTTTCTAAATCCTCGCTCACCTACTCCCTTCGTCTTCCCCTCTCCCCGCTGCCTTACACCCTGACCCCGCACAAGCTGCTAGCTACTCACCTCGTCCAGCATGGCTCGAGCCGTGGTCATTCCGCTCCGCGCCCCCCCACACAGATGCCGCCTCACGGCCTTCAGCGCGCCTGCCACCTCCGCTCCGCCTCGCCGCTCCCCCTCCCTCTCCCCCTACGACTCCGCCGCCTGCGCCTCCTCCTCCGCATCCGCGCCCCTTCCTGCTTCGTTCGCCCCCAGTCGTTCAGTAACTCGCCTGATTGCCGATGGCGGACGCGCCAAGCTCAGCCTTACTACTCGCTTTTGAGAAACTCCCCGCCAGTTCTCGCCCGCTTGCTCCCCTTCCCTCCCCCCTTCCGCCTCTTGAACTGCGTCGGCTGCTCGCGACGGCGCAAATTCGGGCAACGGGGTGCGCGGAAACGGGCGCATGGGCGGAAGCGGGGCGCAAGTCGGAGAGTGGGGTCTGGGATAAGGTAAGGGAGAGCGGGGAGGAGGAGGAGGGGGAGGAGGGGGAGGAGGGCGCTGAGAAGAAAACATCATCTACTAGCGCCTCGTCCGTCTGCTGACGCTGCTGCTGCAACTTCTGCCTCTCCCTTCTCACTCTCGCTGCCGCTTCGGATAGAGCTTTAGGGGATGGATGCCCGCCACGTGGCGCCCCGCGAGAGACTGGAAGCTCGGGATTCTCGACAGGCAGCAGATTCGATCTGCCGCTGCTGACTACGAACGTCGCAGATTCTTCAATCTGCGACGCATCTGAAGGATGACGGACGCTGGATGGAGCGATTCGAGGGGCGTCAGCCGAACGGCGCGGGATGGACGGAGCGAAAGACAGGGAGGCGTCGACGGGGTCAACAGAGTCAACGGGTTCTACGGCGAGAGGAAGTCGAGGTTTCGAGCGGCGCTTTCGCGGGTACTGGCGCTTGCGACCCGACGGCAACAGCAAGAGCCACTCGCCCTCCTCGTTCATCCCCGCGAATCCCTCCACCTCGCCACTCAGGATTTGCGCGTCCGTTGAATACGCCTCGGGAATGCCGCGACTCGATAGCGAGTCCTCGAGCGCCGCGGCAGCGGCAGCTGTGGTAGAAGCAGCGGCAGAAGCGGCAGCAGCGGCGGCGGCAGGGGAACGCACAGCAGCGGCGGCAGCTTGTCGTCGGGACGTGTCGAGGAGAGAGGGAGCCGCGTCTGTTGCCGCGATCCGGGATGCCTTGCTGCCGGGTCGCGCCGCGTCTGGTTGATTTGTGAAGGCGCGAATCGCGTGCGGGAAACGCCTGGAGAGAGATCGCGAGGCGGCTGTGCGGCTGGGGTTGGCTCTCGATATTGTCACTCGCGCAGTTCCTGCGAGCGACGAGCGACGGAAGCTGACGATAGCGTGATAACGGCGAAGAGTGTGCACGGCGTGAGGCGGACCTGCGAACCCGGGATCATAAGGGGGGTATAGTTCAATCGTTAAGGAGGCCACCTTTAAGACGAAGGACGACGGCATGTGAATTCATGAGTCAACAGACGACGATGAAGAGAAGGAGGATCGACGAAACAGCGAAATAAAGGGAGAAAAGGGCATGGATATGGCAACCCAACTAGGGGATAAAACGAGGATTGCGGCGGGGAAATTCGCACCAGTGAATGACGGAAGATGCTGGCGGGAGGCGGACTGAGTTCTCATGGCTGTGCTAAGGGAAGCCCGGCGGGAAAGGTCGGAAACAGCGGCGGTCGCCATCGCTGGCTTAAATAAATTGTGGAACGAAAGGAAGATTGACGCTGCTCTCAACTAGTGAATACGGAAATATGCCGTGTAACTAAGGTGGAGGTGGAGCGGTGCAGAGTGCTGGAATGCTTCGCGAGTGCCTAGAGTGGAAGGCAATGGGAAGTAGGGAAATGTGAAGGGATCAAGAAGTGTGGGTGTGGCTCATAGTTCCACTGCAGTCTGAAATTCCAACCACAATCCGCAGCACAGTCTAGACGTGGTGCTGTTCGCCAGCACCAATGAAGCAAAAAACCATGGGATAACGACGGGATCAGGAAGGTGGGTCTCGCCTTCCTGATCCCGTCAGTTAGGGCTCGTTTACCTCCGTCAGCCTGGTCAGCCCGTAAAAGATGTACCGAGCCTCCCCAACCGTCCAAACCAACAATCAAAGTGGGTGTCTGGCGAAGAGGAAGGCGACGGATTATCAACCTTTTCTGCGGCAACACAGGGGGGTTCGTTTCTTCCCGTTGATTCTTGAGACTTGGGGTTGCTTGGGGGGAAGCTTTCGACAGTGGTTATCGCAGCAGGGGGAGGTTCAAGTAAAGGTGGCTCTTAACAAAGGTGTGGGAAGGGGCAACAGCTCGGGTTTCTCGGAATACTTGGTGGGGTCCTTGACAGCCGCGGTAGGGGTAGCTTTGCAGAAGGCACAGGCTCGGGTGATTCTTTTACGGGCGGCATACACGTTGGGTCAGTCCGAGGCGGAGTGGGTGGAGCGAGGGGGTGGGGAGCAGGAGTTTGGAGAGGGAGCACCATGGGTGGACGTGCCCTACTTGGTCGACATGCGGCTGTAGATGTCTTAGGAAGCAATACTTTGTTTCGGGTTTTAGCGATGGTCTTTTGATGTTTGAGGTACTAAGACACTTCTAGGAAGGGTTTATGCATGTCTGTATGCTTGGTGAAATGTAACGAAGCTGATTAGTGGCGAAAAAAAAAATGTATGCACTTCCTCGCCACAAATTATGATTCTCCCCAGTAAAAAAAAAAAAAAAAAAAAAAAAAAAAACGAACGGCTCGACGGCATATGGAAGCGGGGACGCAACTTCGTCCCCAGGCAAAGCTCCATCCCCAAGCCATGCCATCGCCATGCCCCGTTTTTCGAAGCACAGCAATGGTACAGCTGTCGCATTGCCGTTCAGAGGGGAACCTCTGAACAAGCCATTTGTTTGACAAAGGGGGGTTCGAATACCCCCCATTTTTCCCCTCCCGAACACACCTTCGATGTGCCCCCCGCGCATGACTTGAGCACGACGTGGCGGGGGTTGTATTTGAGCGGGGTGGGTTTTATTAGCGTTTTTTACCAACGTTGAGCAATTTTTGGTCAGCGGGCAGCACAAGGGTCAGTGAGGCTAAACTTTCGCGCTATTGGGGGGAAGGTGGGGATGGACCTTCCCGACGCGGTTGCGTAATTTCGCCTTTCAAGCGAGCGAAGTTTCTGGAGCGGCATTACGCCCGTACCTCGGAGGAGGGTTCCGCCCCCGTTTCGAGATGCGGTCGCGATGCCGATGCCATCGTTTTCTGTTCAAGAAACGATTTGCTGGCGAACAGCACCAACGGTAAGGACTAAACCTGATGCTGAAGGACTGTCAATTCCTGGCAGGAGCGACAATGTCAAGGAAAACGGTACAGCCGGGGCGAAGCGCTAGCATCTGGCAGCCATGGCTGAGGAGGAATGGTGACATCGATGATGGTGAAGCTTCGTTGGAAAAACGGAGTCAGAACTTCCGGGCAGAGAAAAATGATAGACGGGCATAGTTAAGGTACTTTGGACCAATTATTGTCACCGCAAAGGTGTTACATTCAGAAACAATTGTTCCCGGACTTCGCCTCCTTGTCCAATATTGCTACCAAGTTCAGCACTACAAGCTGCACGTGGGTGACAACGGGCAGATCGCACGAACGAAAAATGATGGTCAGCCTGGGTCACCTGGGCAAGATTTGAGAGGGCCACGACGACAGATGGTGGAATGCGACTGGCTCGATGATGCCCCACGTATCCCTCTGACGTTCTGAGCCCAGATGCGCCCAGCCATGAACCGCTCGCGTGGCTCTCTCAACGCCATCTGTCGAGCGTGTATTGCGCATCTGAGATCTCGCCCCTAGTAACGAGAACAGTCTGCCCAACTTTATTGTACACCTCTAGCTTTACTGATGCATTCAGTTCGAATACGTGCACTGATAGTTTCGACAGCTAGATAATTTGTTTTTCCTGTTGCAAATAACGGGGATGTAGCTCAGATGGTAGAGCGCTCGCTTAGCATGCTAAAGGTATGGGGATCAATGCCCCACTTGTCAAAGATTGCGGGGATAGCTCAGCTGGGAGAGCGTCAGACTGAAGATCTGAAGGTCGCGTGTTTGAACCACGCTCACCGCATTTTGCTGCTTTCCGCCGGACTGCCATGATTGTGAGATCAGCTCAAAACACATTAGGTTTCCAATAAGTTCACAATCATGAGGAGTAGACTCTAGCATTTATGAAAGAGGCTCTACTGCTCTTCATACAATGGGTGTACATCCTCCTGTGTGCTACACCTGGATATCTTCACTATCAATTAACACAGAAAATCCATTGCTTCAGCAACCCATTTGAGTCGCAAGTGTAACTAACCAAGCAACACCGTTTCCCTAAATCAAGCATAGGGCTTGTCCATCACCCAATTCAGCCGCATACATTACAGTGTTCTACTCTTTTCATTCACAGCTCAAGCATAGGGCTTGTCCTGCATGGCCCACCCAAATATCTGCTCGTACTGCTCGGCCGCCTTGTTCCACGACATGTCCTGTAGCATGCCCCGCTCCATCACCCCCGCCCACGAGTCCTTGTGCTCCCTGTACGTCTGAATCGCCGTCCACAGCGCCTGCAGGGGTGCAGAGTGGTGAAAAGGTGTGTGGTATGGTAAGGTAGGAGAGTTAATGGGGTATGTGGTGCAGTACGCCCCTCTCCATCACCCGCGCCCACGAGTCCTTGTGCTCCCTGTACGTCTGAATCGCCGTCCACAGCGCCTGCAGGGGTGTGGTGTGGTGGGAAGGTATGTAAGCAGTAATCAGGTATATGGAGGGGTGGTCATGTATGCAGAGGGGTAGTCATGTATGCAGAGGGGTATTCAGGTATGCGGAGGGGTAATCAAGTATGTGCACGTCAGAGAAAAAGCTTGAAGAAAAAAAGCAGAAAGGAGCCAATATCGAAGAGATTAGCAGTAAGAGTAACAGTTCGTGAGGACCATTGACGGACAGACACAACTGGTTACCAGACACACGCACGCACGCACGCACGCACGCACGCACGCACGCACGCACGCACGCACGCACGCACGCACGCACGCACGCACGCACGCACGCACGCACTCACGCACGCACGCATGCACGCACGCACGCATGCATGCATGCACGCACTCACCCCCATCATGGCTTCCTTGGTGAGAGGTGAGAAGGTCCACCTGAGAGGCGAGAGAAGGATGACATGCATCACAGGCGAGAAAGGGATCAGCGAAGGTGATTCAGTGTAAGGTGTAGGGTGAAGGGTGAGGAGAAAAGCCCATGCATTTGAGAGACGAACAGCCAAGGAGGTATAAAGCAGCGGAGGCCACGTCTCGTCTAGCCACCCGTTTCTGCCCTCTTTACAACCCTTCCATCCCTTAGGCCTTCCCCTGGTGTCACGTCAACCCCTCTCACTCCCTTGCACAGTACAGCCTCCCTCCACCCCTCATTTGCCCCCTTTGCCTGAGCCAACCGTCTTCGCTTCTCCTTGCTCCCCTCCCCTTCTCCTTTAAATTAAAAGGAAGCATGCCCTTCCTGCCCTCCCTCCTGGTCCTTCCTAGTCCCACCCACCCTTCCCTATCCGGCCCCCACCCCACCAGAAACCCTTTCCTTATCTCCCCCCTTCCCCCCCTCTGCTCACCCCGTGCCATCGCCCTTGCCCTCGTTGGCAAACGGGTTGAAGTCCTGAACCGTGTCCTGGGGTGGAGGGAAGGAGTGGGAGATGGGCGGGGAGAGAGGGAGGGGTGGGGGGGAGGGGTGGGAAAAGGACGGGGAAGGGATCAGTGACACCTCCTCGTGCCCTCGCCCTTGCCCTCGTTGGCAAACGGATTGAAGTCCTGAACCGTGTCCTGGGGTGGAGGGACGGAGTGGGAGATGGGCGGGGAGAGAGGGAGGGGTGGGGGGGAGGGGTGGGGAAAGGACGGGGAAGGAATCAGTGACACCTCCTCGTGCCCTCGCCCCTGCCCTCGTTGGCAAACGGATTGAAGTCCTGAACCGTGTCCTGGGGTGGAGGGACGGAGTGGGAGATGGGCGGGGAGAGAGGGAGGGGTGGGGGGGAGGGGTGGGAAAAGGACGGGGAAGGGATCAGTGACACCTCCTCGTGCCCTCGCCCCTGCCCTCGTTGGCAAACGGATTGAAGTCCTGAACCGTGTCCTGGGGTGGAGGGACGGAGTGGGAGATGGGCGGGGAGAGAGGAAAAGAAGGAAGAGAGGAGGAGAAGAAAGGGGGGAGAGGGGTAACAGTCAGAACGGGTTGAAGCTCCCTCGCCCCCCTCATTGGCAAACGGGTTCAAGTCCTGAACCGTGTCCTGAGGTAGATGGGAAGGGGGGAGTGGTGGATGGGGGGAAGAGAGGAGAAGAAAGCAACGGGAAGGGGGGGGGGGGGGGCGTGGGGGTTAACAGTCAGAATGGCTTGAAGCTCCCTTGCCCCCGTCGTTGGCAAACGGGTTGAAGTCCTGAACCGTGTCCTGGGGTAGATGGCAGGGGGGAGGGGGGGAGGGTGGTGGGTGGGGGGGAGGGAGATAACGGGAGTGGGGAGAAGAAGGGATCGCATGGCGTACAGTACAGCTGGCTCAGCCCCTGCTGCATTGTACCCTCCTCTCAACCATCAAGTACCTTACTCACTCTTACTCTCCCACTCACCCTCAGCCCGCCAGTGGCGTGCACAACTGGAACGGTGCCGTATCGCATGGCATCAAGCTAATTCAACCCCTGCTGCAT